GGGGGGGGCACAATCCTTCCAGAAACTGATTGAACAACATATTCAAAAATCTAGTTTTCACTTATTTCCTCTGGTAATCAGAGTCATGTCATTTTAGCATCTCAACAGAATACATTTAGAAATCATTATAATTCATCAAGTGAAAATAAATTAAATTTTCTTTATAATAAAACATCAAAATCTGCTTGACACTAATATCTATAATGAGAAAAATCCAGGTTGTGCCACTAAAAATGGATATCAGGAATAAATCAGGGTATGGACATCAGGATTTGTCGAGTCCAATAAAATCATATTCACTTGAATCTGTTATTGCAGTTTATTTTAGTGAAAGCACTTTTGCTAAGCAAGCTTACTTGTATCACAGAAACTGGGAATCACAAGGAAACATAAAACCGAAAATAAAAGAGTAACATCAAAATGTGATAAAAATTAATAATGACCTAACTAGAAATTATGAATGATGCAACAAAAAGCAGGATGACAATATTACTAAAAAAACAATTTTAAAGGATCATGCTCTTTTCTATGTACAAATAAAATAAAGGCTTCCAACCTGTTCCATAATGAAATTTTCCATCCAAAACTCCTGCTTTTCCAGCAAGTAGCTCCAATAGTTTTCCGACAGTCATTCTTGATGGAAAACCATGGGGATTCATAATCATATCTGGACATATGCCTGAATCATTGAAAGGCATATCTTCTTGTTCCACTATGAGACCTGCAATTTATGGAAAAAATGTTAAATGCACTAAAAAAACAGATTTAAATGCCATTTTGATGTATTCCTTTGATTTGTCAGCAAATTACAATTAATTTTTTTAAAATATCTCTCGTAATTAATATTTTGATTACAAGCCTTTTTATACATTATTGTATTTGTAAATACAAGTGCTTTGAACAATTTCTAATAAAGTTTCTCAAACATTTACACAGGCAGTTTCTGATGTAGGGCTGCAAGGCCCTGGTTAACTCCTCTTTTATCTACTTTTTCTACATCAGGGCCCTACATCATAAGCTTTTCTGTCAAAAATAACCAATTTTTGCTGCAGCATTACATACATTACATACTTTCTCTTTACTATGTACAATGACAAGACTATAAAAAATAAGGAAATACCAGTTCTACCAAACAAAATATATTCCATCAAAAATCTGTTCCGTAAGGTGGCTTTGGCAACTCAGGTGTTTAGAACGGCCCACCACACCAACCCCAGGTATTCTCATGCTCTCTTGGTACATTTGCTTGAACTGCTTCACCATTCAGAATGGTAGAGAGTCAGGACTTAGAATATGAATACACACAAACACATCAGCATGAAACTTACCAGTAACACCTTTTTGTCCATGGCGACTACTGAATTTGTCACCTATTTCAGGACGTCTCGTTTGTCTCAGAAGTATTTTGATCAAATTTGAATTTTCACTATCTGACGATATCATAACTCTTTCAATGTATGATGGTACTGGTCCTTTATACTGTACTGGCACTTCTATATATTCAGGTTGTGATTCCATGTTATTCACAGGATTTTGAGTCAATGATGGCATTGATTTGTTTACAAGAACCTAGAAATAACACATTGAGTGAGAAATCCTACACAACCAATTTGAAAGGATACACAGAGTTGGTACCACAATTTCCAGCATAACCAATGCTCATCGATGTGAAAACATTCTGAGGAGGAAATAGTCTTATTTTTAGTTGTGGCAATGCTATAAATTTGCAGCTGACATCTCATTCAGTTTTATGGAGAGAGGTTCTCGAGTCGGATGTGGAGGGTGAAATCTCATGGTATTTAGCTTTTTCATGAGAACACATCTGTGCTTATTGCTTAGATTGCAAAAAATACAGGGAAAGACTGTCTTCAAGGAGTTGGAACATACACATTACAGTCTATATTGCGCACCTAGCAATATCACTTATAAAAACTGAGGAAAGACCTTCAGGAAAGCAAATTTTAAGGTGAGTGAGAGGTGAAAGAAACACTTTTGGACCATTTTGCGAACAAAACTTCAAAGTATAATTTCGAAGGCATAAAAAAGTGTACAGATGTGAAAAGTAGTTTGGACTAAAGGATGAGGAGTTGAAAGGTTGCATAATTTTTTTCTTTGCATCAAAAATGGAAGTCAATGAAGTCAGAAACTTATCGATCCACCTTCTATTTGCAAGTACAATGAATAAGCAGTTACATTAAATTTCCCAATTTTTTGGGGGAGCAAGACATTTAACTTATTACTGATGACAGTAATTACATTGGATTTTTAATGAAGAGAAGGTAGTAATGTAGTGGTAGATTTTACAAGTTCACTGAAATCCTGATTTTACTGAACTGCAAACTTTAAAAGTCTTGCCCAAAAAAATAATTGGGAATTTTGACTAAACCACATATTTCCTGCACGTACTAGTATGAGAGCCATGAACCACTGGAAAAATTGTATATTGCAAGCTTTATTGCATGATGAGTTGTACCTAAACATTCTGGATGCTAATTGGATAATAAACATACATTTTTTTGCTTTCAACTCACCTATTGTCATTTTCAATAGTTAAATAAAAAATATGTTGAAGAATAATTCATTAAAACTGAACAATTTAAATTTTATTTGAAAATAATTTAAGACCAAGAACTAAACAGAGAAATAATTTGCTTTAGGATTAATATTACAGTACAATATTTAGTGAAAACATATTTTTTGAAAATTAACAATAATAACGATTTTCATTGTTAGCCTTATTACCTGTCTGTTTTCAACCTTCTCTCCAGGTGAACAAATGCCATCTTTATCTAAAATATCATGTTTGAATATAATTTTTCCTGTTGCAGCATCCATAAGTGGACCTAAAATTCTATCAAAGGATCTGTTGGCATAACGTTTTAATGTACATTTGGCATTTCGATACACCAAACAGCGACCATAACCTGTAAAGAGACAAATATCTTGAAAAAGCAGTTCCATAAAAACAATAAAATGCATGCATCTACTACTTGCCTCTATCTATAGATGCCTTGTTCAATATTAGAGCATCTTCAATATCATATCCACTGTAACTCATTACAGCAATTGTTGCATTCTGTCCAGCTGGTAACTTATCAAAGTTAATCAGTTCAATTGTTCGAGTCTTCACCATAGGTATTTGAGGGTACACAATGTTATACATTAGTGTATCTATACGATTACGTTGGTTATATCCAATTGTGCCTTCAACAAAAATACTAATTTACTGGTGAAGGTGACAGAGGCGATATGAACCATGCAGAGCAAACAAAAAAGGTCTGGGTCTCACCCATAGCTTGTTTGCCCATAGCACACTGATAAGTGTTTCGAGGGCTTTGATTGCGATGAGGGTACGGAACCAAACCAGCACATACTCCCAAAAGAGTAAAGGGTTCTATCTCCAGATGAGTGGTATATTTTTCTTCAATATTGCTTTCCGACACGGCTATGTAGCTGTCATTTTCTTCATTCACATCTAAGTACTCAATCAACCCTGAAATAAAAAATTGTGATATTTATTAAAGACACTCCAACTTCTCAAGCATCATTGTATTCTTTTAATTAATATATAATTTCTACAAATTTGTGAAAACTGTTTCTATGCTGCTGATAAAATCAAAATGCTATTACAATCATTACATCTTAAATTTTTGGTACTGAAGCTCCCAATTGGATGCAGTGTCCCCTCTCATTTCAGCATGAGACTTTGAAAGGACCCACTGTTTTATTCAAAGTTTAGGTACTTGGGTCCTGCAAGAAACATGTTAACCCCTTGGGCTAACAGCTCTCAAGTCAGAGTCAAAGTACTAGAATAAATGGTTTAGTTCTACACTTCAGAAAAAAAAAGGTTGCAATGAAAATTGGTCCTTTGAGAAATGAGAAAGTATGTAGTAGTATACGAGACTATAAAAATTTAATATCAAGCCTGTCATGATATGTCTAAAATTTCTTCTTCAGCATTTTCCCCTTAGGAGCTTGCCATTTTCACCCTCCACAACTCTTGGTCCTCCCAATCTCCTGGTTTGAGACCTCGACCCTCCATAGCTTCCTGGATGTATTTTTCCCACTCTAAAATGGGTCTTCATCATTTTCTCCTCTCAGGTTGTTGCCACCTGTGGGCCATCTTGTGTGGCCGTCCGTTTTCAGACATTCTCTGAACATGTCCATACCATTGTAATGTTCTATTTTGCAAGATCTTCGTAATAGAACAAATTACATTCATCCTTCTCCATATACTTAATTTCACACTCTGTCCTTGCGAGTAAGTTGTACGCATTGTCTCATGTAGTCCATTTCTTCTGTCCTAATCTCATCTCTTATTTTTTGTGTTTGTGGCCACATTTCCGCTCTGTATAGTATTACATTTTCTACTAAACAATGGAATAGCCTTCTTTACACATTTGGCAGATATTGTAATTCCATAACGTGCCTTGTAAAGCTTTGGCTGCTTTCCTCTTGATAATTACTATTGAGTTTATATTTGGTTAACATACGGTTGTATTTATATTCGTAAAACATACCTTTCCCACTACCATGTGATGGTTGCTAACTCATTCAGGCTGTGTATAAACCTGCACATCATTTAATAATGTTCTTCTTATCTTCTTCATTATCTTTAAATCTATAATTCATTTATCTAGTGGGATCTTCCAATGTATATCTGTATGTCTTTATGTTAGAACATAGCATTTGTTACAAGACATTCTTGCTCCCTACATAGATTAATAAGTCTATTTCCATTGTCATTTACTACTTCTTGAAAAGGGCAAACTTTCTCTTTTTCGTGATGTCCGACTGTAAATTTAAATCTTCAATGACAATTAGTTCAACTTGCTTGCTCACTTCTTCCATAGTATTACCAAGCTCACCAAAGAAAGCTTCTGTTTCTTCACTTAAACTGTTGTCGTTAACACCATATACTCGAATGATAGTTAAAATTTAGTGCGAGTTTCAGCAATCTTTGATTTATTTGTTCCAAATTTTTAATATGTTTTCTGTATTTATTACTAATAAGTAATGAGATGCCGGATTTTGCATGTTGCGATTTGGGTACTCCACTCCAAATATGATAGCTGTTTCCTAGTACTTCTTCTCCATGTCCCTTTTTTGGTTTCTGTAAGGACCAGTTTCAATTTATGTTTTTCAGATTCCCAGTTCAATTTATATATTTCTGATTCAACATCTGCCCGTTTCGGTCTCAAACCTTGCACATTCCATGTACCAATGGAGATAGTCCTATTTTGTAGCCGAAGTCGTCTCTGGTTGGCTGCCTGGGTTGCAAACTAATCTTCCTTTACCAGGCTTAGAACCGGCAACGGTGGCTACTAAGCCATTTGGTTCACTCACCACCTACTGCAGGTAGAGTAAAATATCTAACACTTAAAGTAGGTACTCATAATACAGTTACATCTCCTGGAATAAGCTGACAAACAAACCTACTACAAACTTTAAAAATAAAAACGGACAAATAACTAAAATATTTATGACTACACATCTGTAAAAGAATTTGTTAATTTTATAAGCATTCTGTGCACATCTGTATTAACCCCAGGATCCTGGTTTTGAAATTTATTGCTAATTACTAGGAGTAAAATTATCTCACTCCCAAAAAGAACAATTTCTTCATTGAATAGGTGAAAGATTAGACAATTAGTAATTACAATATTGCCAAAGCACTTTATTAAGATACATGCTGGCATATCATCGCTGGACCCAGGCTCTTCAATACCAGAAGTGAGTAAATTTTACTCCAAGACCTCAAAATGTTTGCTTACTCTAAAAAAATAAACAGTGAGAATAACAACTGAGATTGCACATACTTCAAGTCCAAGGAATAAATTTTAAACTGCAATAACATGGCATCTCGGCACCAAATGATAGGGTTGCCTTGTTAAAAATAAAACATGTTAGTGAGTAAATTTTACTCACTGACTTGTATTTTTGAACATTAGAGGTACGTTAGTGATAACTGCATTTCAACTTACCTTCACAAAGAAAATCTTCAAAACTTCTCACCCCCTTAATCAGTTGATTAATATGTTTCTGGGTAACAAGAGGTCGCCCGTTTTCCACTATAATGTAAGGTCTGTAAAATCAGAAATAAAACATATTACCAATAGATATTTTCAATCTCAAATTACTACACAAAATAGCTGTTACCACTACATGAAATAAAATTCATGGTGGTGAGAAATATTTTGACTCAAGTATTAAAAGATTTGCAAAAATACTTTAAAATTTTTATAATTCCCTTTGATTTAATTTCTCTCAAAAGCTTTAGGTTTCTGTACATTACAAAATGCATCTTGTTATATAATTAACATTCTTCTTCAGACATTATCTTAAGATTTTCTTATAAAACTTTTTAAAACAAATGAAATTGTGAGAATATCTCTTCGGTGGTAGTAGTATTATCAACATATGTTGCTTAAGTTTTAACCTAGAAAACTGACCTGCAAAGGCGACCTCCATCAGAACTAATATAAATACATCTGTGAATATGATTGGGGTAGATTGATATAAAGCCATTAATTAAGCCCCGCCTTCTCATTGTACGAATCACCCAAAGAAGGCGTTTATATTCTCGGATGACTCCCAGAATATTACCTGAAAATAAGGATATTTTAAGAAACACTATTAAAATCCAATTACATTTCAGAAGCTTTAAAAGTTTATTAATGAACGATTTTTCTTCCCTGCCACAATCAGAATTTGGAAAAAGAGATTTAATAACATACAGAGAAAAAGCAAGATACTATTAGATGCAAGATTTTATTTGTACTGATTTCACTAATAATGAATGGCCACTTATTGCAAGGAATATCTTTGGTCTATTGATTCTTTAAATATATTATTGAGTGCCATCTATTAATGCATATATTAGCATCACATTTAACAATTTATCAAACCAACAATGTGAATTTTCACTCCAGGAAAAATTATCAAATTCAGAGACGGAACAAAGATCATAGAATACTATAGAGAAAAATCCTTTCGATATAGCGGTTTTCATTTCAACTCCTACATTTCCCTCCGCTCTCTTTGGACTGTTTGTGTGCTTGTGTTTTGCATGCATTAGTTGTATCTTTCATGTGATTTTTCAGTGACATTGTAAACTGAACTTAATAAATATATACAGTACTTGTATTTGTCTCATCTCCACCACCACCACTACCACAAACAACAACAACATCAATGAAAACAACTCCCATTTATTTTGGATTGTTTTTCTACATTTCATGCATTTCCCCCCTTTGATCCTTTCTAAAGTTTCAAAACTTTATGATGACTACGATGAAATAATGTTAAAAGTGATACTCATAATACTACGTTGAAAGTGTGTACACATTAAAACAATAATTCAAACTTATTGGTAGGTAGAGGCCATTAAAACAGAGGGACAAAGTAAGATTTGCTCTAGTTACTATTCTTGAAAATATTGCGATTAAACACAGAAAATATTAATTTCAATGTCCACTTCCATCTTAGCTAAAAGTGATTCACATTTAGAAATAGAATATCCTATATGACTGTTAGTAGAAGGTAATAGTAGACAGTAAGAAGTTTGTAGAAGCAGGACTGTTTAACTGTCTCAACCCTGCCTGATGTCCAGGTTTCTTCTCTACAGCATTCTATGCTCTTTGGATATGAAAGCTAGAAAATGACTACTTAGATCTTGGTTATTACTGTTACAAAAAATTGGTTGAAACATTTCTTTACAATATAATATTTATTCGTTGATTATTAAAGCTAGGAATACATAATTCTGGATCCCTCAAAAACTGTAAGCTAGAATAGAGTACATCACAAGAAACATTACCATTAAGGAATACAAGATATGTATCTGGACTGGATATTTCTTCTCCTCCAAGTAATGCAATATCTTCAACTCCTGCATTGTATGCTAATTGAGCAATTGCAGGTTCTTTTACCTCTGTTGTTATGTGAGTCATAAGGGCCAAATTCTTTACCAAGCCACACGCCTAATTTACAAAAAAACATAACTTTTAACAATAGGTTGAAAATTCTTGAAACTCGGAACAAAATTTTAAAATCATAGCATTTTATATTTTTTATTTGTAAGATAAAATGTTTAAGAGTAGGTACCTCTCCTTCAGGGGTATCAGAAGGACACATCATTCCCCACTGTGATGGTTGAAGTGACCTTGGGCCAGATACCTTTCTTGTTTTCTCAAATTGGGAATTAACTCTAGTCATCATTCCCAATGCAGAAATGTAAGATAAACGAGAAAGCACTTGAGTCACACCCTGTCTTTCCATTTTAAACCTTTTTATTGTCCAATTCCCCTATAAAGAAATACATTAAAGGATACTTTATATTTTTCATAGCTGTACTTAAAAATCAAGAAATGAATTTCAGTGACTTGAATATTCACCATATTATCTTTAATAGAGTAATTATGTTTTAATAAATACTGTGTTCTTTCACGTCTCTTAGAAAGAGCTTTTGAGAACAAAGTGTAGACACGTTGTCAAATAATTTAATGTTAAATTCAGAACAAAGGTTTAAATACATGTGAAACTCAGAGGAACTCACTGTAGATATTGCATTCACCAATCCATTTGTTATGAGGTCTTGACGCATATGCTTCACAATGTCAAATTGTGCTGCTTTAACTTTCGGAATGTTCTTGTCCGCAATAATCTTCAGCTTAAAGGAAATTTAAATCATTATTTCATTGCACAATCACAATAATTAAAACAAACAAAATTACTTAAATACCCTGAGAACAGAAAAAGACAATATGAATAATTTAATCAACATATAGTAAAAATAACTTTCACTCAGAAAGGTAAAAAGAAGAAAAGGAAATAAAGTAGGAAGGAGAAAGTATTTTTAGTTAATGCTCGTAGTCACTAAAATTCTTGAGAGGTGAAAAACAAACTTTTCATTACAGTAACACAAAAAAGCTAACTCTTCAGATTAAAATTTAACTTTCTTTTTTATCACATCACTTTTTCTCACAATTTTTTTGTAAGAATATTACAAAGGAGAGTTAATTATTAAATAAATACACTGTAGCCTTTTATTCTCTTTATGATGGTCAATACTGAAGTGGTCAGTTGAAGTGAATTTGATCCATTTGGGAAATGTAAACCAACACAGAACTGAATTATTAAGATCTTAAGCTTTATTATCATTACTATTATTATCATTACTATTATTATCATCATAAGCTGCAGCTGAACTAGGCATGTTCCTATCTGGACTGTCTGGGTGACTCCGCGTCGAAGGCTGAAGCTGCTTTCGACCAACATTTCGCAGTCTACTTCAGGGCTGTTGTGCACTGGTCCACGGGTACTGCAAATCTACTGCCAACAGGACGCCTAAACTCACTTACGACCCGTCTACATCACAGCATTGAAGTTGATGTTATGCATTTATAATTTAGCATCGTACATCACATCTCTCCTACAATAATTTTTAATTATTTCTGATATATTTTTGTACTTTGCATTCTATTATTGGTATTAAAATTTTTGAAGCACTGACTTACAAAACAGTATTTTAAATACCTTGCTAAAAAAATAGCAAACAGCACACTGCATTTGTGTAATATGCCCAATGTTTTGCTCAAATACACATCTTCAATTCTACACACTATATTATATCTAGGAATAATGTATTGAACATATCAATTTCTGAATTTTCTTTCACTTACCTCCCAATTAAATCTCTTAAATAGATCTTCAAACATAAGACTAAGAAGTGAACCGGCAAGTTCCAAGCGTTTATTTCCATAATAATCACGATCATCAATAATTTTGCCATTAATTTGAGCTTGGATTGTGCGGCGTATCATTAATGCCAAATAAGTTACTTTTACTTTGAAGTTGAATTTTTCCACCTAAAAAAAATTAATTAAATAAATAAATAAATAAATATAGGAGTACATGTACAAATGCTCTCTGCATTAGAGTATAGCCTTTCGATGTAGTGAAAGGAAACACTCATAATTTCCAATATATTATCATAACATGGAAATGAAAATACATGACACTGAAGTTCCAGTAGTTTATTCAAACACACACACGCCTTTACCTGTTGATATTAAAACACCAAGACCTTGTTACAATTCAACATGTTGCAACCACTACACTCAAAAGAGTAAACACACACATCTTGGCTAATGGTAGTCATTTTATGCATTTCCCGAAGGTCAGTTTATTGTCCTTTTAAGGAAACATTTTATTATTTTTCTTAATTATTTTCAACAATTAATGTATTCAAATTTAGTTTTACATATTTTGAAAGGCAAAGACAAAATCAAAGGAAAATGAAAAATTGGAGCTGATCGCATGTTAAGTCAGAAAGAGTATTTGAAGAATAAATTTATTACGTTGAAAGCAGAAATTGATGGTGCAAATACTGATATCAAATTGAAATATGTAAATAGACTTCCAACTTTAGTAAATATATAGCCACCAAAGGTACATCATCATCTTCTCAAACTTTCAAGGGAAACTAAAGATCAGGCAATCGTGCACAAACATATCAGTATGTTTGTGAATGATTTTGGCTTCCCAGGTGACGCTGCATTGGAGGCTGTGTTGCTGATGTTTCAACCATCTTGACCAGCTCTGAGGAAGACCACAATAAGATGACCAAAACGTCAGCAACATGCCTTTGACATGGCTTCACCCGGACAGTCATTCACAAGACTCAGGCCATGGAAGCCTAAAACTTCAAATATCAGTATATTATCAGAATATCAGAGGATTGAGAACTAAACTCAACTATTTGCAAGTTCAACTACATTACATGATATGGACATTATAATCCTGACTGACACATGGTTGATTGAAGATATATCCAGTACTGAATTAAATCTACCAAACCATAGTGTTTTTCAACAAGACAGATCAACATTGACTTGCATCCATGAGAGAGGTGTTGCAATATTGGTCCTTCATAAATTTGTTTGTACAAAAATTGAAACACCAAATTGCTGAACAAAACAAATCTTTGTAGTAATTAAATCTGTAGATATTGAAAATATAGTAGAAACCGTTTACTTTCCTCCAAAATCATCATTGGAAGCATTAAATTCACTGAAAATCTTGAACAAACTTTTGAATGACATCCAAACTTACAAGTTTTTATCTCTGGTGATTTCTATCTTTCAAACTCAAAAAGGATTAATGATGATTTAGGGGTGTATTGAGATTTCTTAAATCCATCATTGAAAGAGAACAATTCTAGTACAATTTTGGCAAACACTATGAATTTTGTAAATTTATTTTAAATGAACAATATCGTCAATGAGTCTGGTAAAATTTTAGATTTGATTTTTGTAAATGACCAAAAGTGTAGAATATGACAACCTGACTGTCCATTAGTAGTATGTGATATGTATCACCCTACACTCGATATTGTTTTTTCAGTTGATGAGAAATTGTCGTCATTTGATATTATTGAAACTAATTACAATTTTGAGCATGGGGATTACAACTTGATAAATGATGCCCTAATTCCATTCAACTGGCAGCCATTTTTTTTACAGAAAATTCCCCTGAACAATGCAGTATTTATTTCTACGGAACAATCTACGATTTAATTAACAATTATGTTCCTAAATTCAATAAATATCCCACCACATATCCGACTTGGTATTCCACTGATTATTTAAATTTCTCAAAATTCAGAAAATTTGTAAAAAGAAAGTCATAGATGTTTATAATAACTACATACGAAAATTGAGGAATTTATTAATATTGACAATATAAAAAGTTTCGGAAATTTACTAACTCTTTGAGAGGAACAAATGGTTTGCCAAATCTGATATTCTTGAATGTAATTAAGGCTGAAACATGTGATGAAATTGTAAACATATATGCCAATTATTTCAAATCTGTTTATAGTATAGAAATAGTTAATCATGAAATTGAAAATCATTATGTAAATTCAATGATAAACATAGGGAACGTTCAAATATCTCAAACGGCTGTAGTCCATGAAATAAATTAACTTTATGAAAGAATAAGTCCAAGCTAAGATAATATGCCGCCGTTGTTTTAAAAAAATTGTAACATGAACATTGTACCAATTCTGCACGCTTTATTCACTAAATCATTAGAGGAAGGAATATTTCCAACAATATGGAGAAGTTATATTACACAAATTTTTAAATCATATGACAGATCAAAAATTGATAATTGTAAACCAATCTTGAAATTGACTCTAATTCCAAAAATATTTGTGTCTTTAATAACATACATACTGATATCAAAACTAAACTCAATATTAATAAATGAACAACATGGTTTTAAAAAGAAAAGATCAACAACTTCTAATCTATTGATTCTACAAAATTATATTCTCAAATATTTTGAGTCAAACTCTCAAACTGATGTGATATATACAGATTATGAAAATTATTTTTGGAAATAAAATCAAGAGCCGATTGTAAACTTCTTCAAAAAACCTGAAAACGTTACTTCGGTGGTGTAAAAATAATAAACTTATCAAAAATGTAAAATCATGAGATGTCAATCATGAAAAAGTCTAGAAATTCAATTATATCCTCTTATAAATGGGCAAGAATTAGAAACTGTCATAAAAAGATCCAGGCATGATTTTTGACCAAAAACTGAAATTCAATAGACATTTAGCTTTCATTGTTGCAAAAGCTCATAGAATGCTGAATTTTCTTAGAAGAACGACTATAAATTTTACAAAAACACATACTAAGTCTTCTATATGCTCTGCCTGTATGGTCATAGAAATAAATTAGGAACAGTACAACATAATTTTTTTAATTATTTGCAGCTTGGAAATTTAAATTACAATCACCTTGCATATCTCATGATTATAATTAAATTGCCAGGACGTTAAATATTAGTACATTAAAGTCTCAAAGAAAATACAATATCATATTTTTATATGATTTATTGAAAAATGATATTGACTGTCCTGAGCTGCTATCCCAAATCTCACCGAAAATACAAGTTTGAAATATTTAAAAGATAGATATACATTGGAAATACCATTAGCATAAACAAATAAATATTTTTACGCTCTTGTACAGAGTAGCAAATTCAATTGACATAGATTCTGTTATACCCAAAAATAACTTCACATTGAAAGCGAAAAAAGTGACATTAAATGATTTTACTATTTATTTCAACATGCACTAAAGTAATTATATTATTAACCACATTATTTTCTATATATCTTTTATGTGGAATAATAATAATTGTAAAATATGTAAAATTGGGCGTTTGCCTGTCTTAAATAATTATTAATTTACTACTCGTTAATATTTTAGCAATATTTTTATCTTTTTTGTTGAACACACAGATTCAATAATAATATAAAAAAATTATAATAAATTATAGTTATAAATAATGAAGAGCTAGGCGGTAATGTTTCATGAGATATCTTTCTGATTTCTCTCTAAGTTGCCTTTCATGAAATAATATTTACTGTTATGTTGCTGTTAAGAATACTGGACAGACTCGTGTAACGAGATGTTTCCCCACTTGTCCCTGCCCACCCCAGCCACCCTGGACAGTGCAACACAATTTCAGTGTGTGATACACATTCCTGCCCTTCACAGACCTTGAATGTGTTCCTGCAGCTTTTGGCCTGATGCACCCCTCCCCATCTGCTGTTCTAACATGCCAACTATGATTGCCTTCAAATGAAGCAAAGGCATGTGGTTGCCAAATTGCCAAAACAAGAACAAGGGCTCCCAGATTTGGGTTGCAAGTTAAAATAAATACCTGGTACAATGGGGTATCACACTACATGCAAAGCTCATAACAAACAAAAGTGAAAAAACAATGAACAGGATGTATCTAGAACACTCAATGAAAGAATAGCGTCAAAAAGACATGCCTTTGTTGAGCCCTTAAGTTTGTTGGAAAACATTTCATAACAAATGATGCCATCATGTAACACACTGTCATTAAGTGCATTAAGTAAACTTCAGCCGCTCAGGATTTTCTAAAATCTTCATGATCAAAATTTCCATGCAAATTAGCAATGTACACATAAACTGATTGACAAATGATGTGACCATAAAATCTGGGATCTGCCAAATGCTACTTACAGGAACATGAGCTAATACAGTGGTGGCAAGTAGATCTCTTGCTTCATCAACAGGTGTCTTTTTTTCTCCTCCTCCAAACTTCTTTTGTTTTGTTTTAGATCCAATGTAGCTACACACACAAAAAATGTATTTTCATAATTAATTATTCAACAGTAAAATTAAGCAGAAAACATAACAAATAACATCCTTTATTAAGTGTTGACAATACCTGAGAGCTTGGTTAGGTGTAAATATGTTCAGTCTGTGGCATTCTTCAACAGAAGCCAGAAATTTTTCAACTACAGTTTGTTCTACACCCACCATTTGAAAAATTTCCTGTTCTGCTACAATTCCCATGGCTTTGAACACAATTCCGACAGGTATATCCTTCAAGAAAACAATATTTTAAGAAAGAAAATTAATTTTGAAGAACACTATTTCTTAGGAAATTAATGGGAGATGCAGTTAATGTACATTTCACAAAATAAAAAATATAGGTATTCCAACAATAATACGACTTCCTCTCATTTCATAACATTCGCAGGTTTTAATCTTTTAATACCACTCCACATTTGCGACGTGTGTGGTCACACACAGGCGCTCGACGGATGCACATTTCATTTCGACTGACACTGCCAATGACAGGTCTTAGCCCGCTTCTCAAGGGATGTCAGAGCCACTTGAGAGCTCTCTTTTGGAGCCGCATACACACTGACAGAACTGTAATGATTAGGCTTCTTTTCGCAGATGAGGGGTAAATAATGGGGTTTGCAATTATGGTGATATATGTGAAATAAAAATAGCATAAATTGATTCTAAATGTCTCAAAATGTATATGATGTTGAAACGAGATGTTTTAATTAACAGAAAAAAAATATGCAAAAGCTTATAAATCACAGCCCTTGTGATGATATATCATCCAAAAGGGTGCAGAGATGTCAGAAGACCCAGGAAGAGTTTGTCTTGAAATGTAAATGAAGACAAACCAGGCACTAATGCCTAATCCTTGAATGGAAAAAGAAAATTCAGTGATTTCAGTTTTTACACAATATTTTTAAAGAATATTAAAAATTGTTTTTGTTACAAATAGGGAATAATTTTATTGTATTCTAGTTAACGGACTGATAGTCAATATTTCAATTTGAAAGTAGAAAGACTTAACTGGGAATTCCCCCCCCCCCCCTCTTAATATTGACACACAAAAGCCACGAAAAAAATAGTAATTCCAAAGCAAAAAGTAGACATAAATATGTAATCAAGTTTCCCAAAACAAATTTACAAATGTACCTGAACTCTAAACCTATGATATATGCCATATGATCAGAGAAGAACCAGTGTTTCTTTATCTATGGCAATAATCTTTCTGAAAATATTTTTTCTACAGTACAATTCAAGTCAATGCCAAATGTAATACAATATGGATGAAATGCATGTCTTGGATATATGATCGAAGATTTTCCTGATGAATCTTGAGGGAAAATAACATGAGGTAACACAAACTGCAAATTTTCTCCAAAATTGTTTTAAATTTCACACAAACCTTGATGGGTGTGCTACCATATAACTTTTAATAAGAGCGCATCTAACGTTTAACACAACATGCACTGCAAACTCTTGGAAATGCAAAAAGAGTAGCAGTGGAAAAACACAACAAAACTTGAAATTGTGAGTACAAATATAAATTACTCACATCTGTAAGAGTGTTGTGCCTCAAGTAGAATTTTCCATTCTTAACAACAACATTTGTTCGAGACTTTTTTTCTTGAGTGCTGCTAGTAACTTGACACTGTATATTTCCTTTACTATCTTCTTCAACAATTATCCTATTTCGGCTCATCTGTTCTTGAATCAATATTACCTGCAAATGGGGATTTTACATCATGTAACATGATTTTTCTGTTGAACAAAGGATTTGTAATTACTAGAGACCAGAAAAATATGTTGTAGGAAATGTCTAAATATGTAATTAAAACTGAAAGAATTAGTAATAAATAATATTATTTATTTATATATAAAATATGTAATATAGTAAAATATGTAATATATAAAATAAGATAAAATTTGTAATAATGAAGTACACTAATTATAAAACATACTTAATATGAAATTAGATTAAAAAACATTTCTTAAAAATAATACAAATATTTTAAAATTCATTTGGAGAGTACAAGTTAAGGCACATTTTGCACCATACAACTTTCCTGTCAGTATGCTATCCAGAACCACAATTTAGTAGCCAAACTAAAAGAATTGCAATAGAAGCTTTCATACAAACTGGTGATAGCGATGACCAGCCAATAATCCCTACACTGTTTTTATTGAAGTATTGTTATATGTCAGTGATTGCCAAATTTTCATGGAAATTAATATTAAAGATCATGAAACACTACATCAGTAATACTTTTCACACTTATATGTGAAAGCGATCTTAGATGTTGACACTCACTTCCTGTCACTTATAACTGAAGCAGATTCATGGGACTGTGAGAATATCTGACCGAGTCTTCACATAGTGTACCTCGAGTAGACAGCAAACAGTAATAACATAGTGGGAAAATGCTGATTTTTATAAAAAATTATTCTTATTCATAATAAATGTAACAAAATTGATAGAATAAAAATAATATTTTGTGAAATTACCAAAATGTGTAATATATTATAAATATGTAAAAATACATGCCGAAGGAACTGTATATGGTGTAAGTACAGCAAATATTCCCGAAGATTACAATTTTGAGAATGGTAAGATGAAATACAAAAAATCCGGTCTCTAGTAAACACTACAAATTCACTTAACTGAAAACATAAATAATGAAATAATGAAGAAAGATTCATTATTATTATTAATGCGTAAATTTTCTTGTATCATATATAGTTTATCCTGTAAATTATAATCTGACTAAAACAAGTATGTGAACAAAACCTGAATACTATTTTTCCATTTTAATACATACCACTCATCAGATTGCTCTGTTAATCATAATATTGACCAATAAACACTGCATCTGGTTGTGTGAACAGATCTCAATCGCACATTTATTGGAGAACATGTTTAGTTAGGGATTTAGATGTAAGAAAACAGATAGCACATAAAATAGGTTGCACTGTTTCAACACATCAGTAACACAAATACTGTGCCAAAAAGTGAACAATATGCTACTTTTAGATGTAAACTTATAAATAAAATAATGAAATGAATTATATCTTTTATCACAGTTACAAAGACAGTTACCTTTTCTTGACCTTTTACTACGAAGTAACCACCTGGGTCATGAGGACATTCATTCATTTTCGCCAATTCAGAGAAACTTCTCCCAGTCAATACACAATTGGAACTTCGAAGCATAATAGGCATTCTAGAAAAATATGGAAAGGTAATAAGAATTTAGGTATGAAATAAATATTTCATAATATTAATATCTCAAAAACATTTTATATACAAAAGAACAAATATCACTGGGTTATCTTCACTTTCCTAACTACAAAGGTGCCGCCAATTCACAACTAAAGAACTCTCAACGACAACAAGCTCATTTACTTCAAATACTAATAATCTTCTAACTTCTTTTAACATTTGGTCCCTCAAAATTCACTTCCAGTTGTAATTTCCCTTTTTGTTTCTTTTTAATCAATTTTTTAATTTAAAACAAACACTCACCTTCCAATAAGTAGATCATTTCTGATAACTTTCTGATTTCCTCTAGTATACTCAATATCAACAGTAATAGGAGCTGAGTAAGTCAAGTCCCTTAAGCGACATTCATGAGGTGTCACATTCTTTGACATGTTAAAACCTTCCTCTACATCTGGCTTGCCAACTTTTATATTTAAATACCTACACAGAGAAGCAAAATTATATTCATGCAAATGTACATGGTTTATTAACGGTAAATGAGGGTCTTTCAAGACTAGAACAAACCTTAAGCAAAATATTGGATCTGCATCACTGAGTACCTTGTCATTGGCTTCAACAATTGACTTAATTTCCACATTTATAAAGTAATTGTAAGAATCAATATGTTGTTTCACCAAACCCTTTGTTTTCAAGAATGCTGGTACCAATTTCCATTTTTCCTAGGATAAACAAGTGATATTTATGTATAAAATTACAAAAAAATCAAAAATTACGCAGATACATAACCAAATATTGACATACTTCCAAGGATTTCACCGGTTCTCCGAGCCTTCGATCACGTACTTCACCCATTGTAAATTTAATGCTTTTGTGAACACTTTATTTGTTCTTTTCAACTTTCATCGAGTTATATCTAATTTATGTTCCTTACAAAGGAAAATAATTGCATTGAAATCTTCATGTTCTAAATCGGTACTGAAATATATTTTCGTGGTTAGCTATTAAAAACTACACACGTTCACTCTATATCACGTTCAATCTATATCAACCGATTTTCTTCTGAGAGTTTGAAATAATCGTTTCTGATATAAAGAACAACCGGTCATAACCTCCAAATTCCTACATCTCACCAAAGACAGACCGTAGAAACAGGAGTCACACGTGAGGAGGTATACAGTGAGTATAGTCACTATACTATAGTGCAAACAGAGAGTATTTTACAGGGTCGGCACCAAAGAGTATTTTGTTATAGTGTAGCACACTCCAGACAGCATATCGGTTGGCGATCATGCGACATCTAGCGGCACGACTGAGAAAGACACAAAATGCCGTGATATATTCCATAGTGATGACAGGCCTTCACGCCCTGAAAGAATAAAAAACCAAATACTACTAAACTATGGTGACGGATACGAAGTTTATTACGTGCTAGAATCTACATTCCACTCTCTTTAAAAACTCTTTGGGGTTGAGTGGCGTTGAACAGTGGCATACTGTGAGCAGTGTCTGTCTTCATAATAGTCTGTAAGAAGAACAGTGAAGAATATGACTCCTGTGTTAAGAGGCATGGTGAATGTACGAAAAATGTCGGCAACTAATGGGTCACCATTGACCTTTAGCGACATCACTCAGTGAAGTACGAAACTTATTTTGTCTTTTTCAGCCCTTGGATTGGCCGAAATATACCGTGAAAGGTTCCTTCTTCCGCCAATTGATGCCGCTAAGTTTCAAGTGTGGCCGATTACCTGCCGACTCTTTCCATACATGCCCCACCACCGATGTTGAGCTTTTTCTTAAGCCTGTTTTACACGATCATTTTTTCTTAAATTTTCGTCGATACAGAAAAGATACAGACCAGACTATGTAATTTGTACGAAAAAATGACGCATGCTTAATTTTCGGTACAGATTTCATCGAGTTTGACTACCGCGCTCCTGGCGACACTTTACGGGACTTTCTCTGGTTTGTTATGCGTGTGGAGAGATATGTTCGTTTTGTAGTTGCGTGAGAGCGTTCTGATGTGTTGAATTGTAAAGTGAAGTGGTTATGTAGTGAGAAATAAATTATGTACTGTATTCTAATATTGTCGCATCCGTGCTCGGTCCTAATATAACCTAACTTAATTTGTTACCACATATGCGATGTTTAAATGTTTGAACTTCAGCGCTATATGGGGCGTCCGGAGGAAGAATTTTCTTCATGATTACGTACAAAGACTGAGATTACCGTGTAAAACGCAGGGATGACTCTCATCCAGTTTCGGCACCGAAATATACTGCTACTAAAACAGGCTTCTTGGTCTTCATGAATTGAACTTCAGTCTCAGTGTTCATGACTGAGGACAATGATTTTCTAAGACTGGAATAGAAGAATCCTTTCCGATTCTAAGACTGCTTACACACGTTTCCATACCGTAGACTAAGGAGGTAGTTCATTACGCTATGTCCATTCCATAGGAGGAATATAATAATTCATGACAAAACTGTATTTCTTCATACCCATACCATGGATGAATGTGTTAATCTATGCCTATAGCTCTGCTGGCCCGCAAAAGTTTTTGAATAATCTGTGTGTGGTTTATCAATCGGCTGATAGAGCGAGTCAAGTGTTTAAATCTCATTTCATTCTTGCGGGAAGGGTAGTGGGAGAAAAATGTGCTGAAACAACTACAAACTCCGCATAATAATAAGGGTATGTTCGTTCTATTTTCAATCAACACATACATTGATTTACCGTTAAGTAATGGAATTTTGAGAGGATTTCATGATTAGATAAAGTTAGGAAGGCCTTGTAGTTACTGAGTTACCCAACAGATGTAGGAGATTTCCATATTCGTTTCGAATTCTGCGTGCATATGTCATCGTGCATGCGAGGCGTCTTGCCGCGCGACGTTTTTGCCCGCCTAGGAGGGAGCTGGCGGCAGCAGCTGGCTGGTTATACTCTCTGGGCTGGCATCCCTTGTTCTCCCCCCGTCCCACACGAGGGGGAGCCAGAAGGGGGAACAGAAGGAAGTGCCATCTGCGAAGGAATGTTGAGAGCTTCTCCTTTGGGGGAAGAAATGAATCCAAAAATAACTTGAGACTAAGCTGCGACGACTCTACATATACTTTTTTTATTCGAATTTCGACGTCCAATATACCTACTAAATAGAATTTCGTATTTTCCACATACATCTGTTACGATATATTGAATTACAAATAAGGGTAATGAGTACCTACCATTAGTGTTTTACGTTTAATTATACATTAATCAATTTAAAATTCTCCATCTTTTTTATGGAGTGTGAGTGTATTATCCTAGAATTCTAACCAATAAATTAGACTTAGTTAAGACTACCATGTACGTTAGACTTCCAAGTATGTCAAATCATTCCGTTCGATGTTTACAATCTACGAATAAGCACACAGAGGTTGGATAAAAACACAAATACCCAAAAGCTGGTATGCTTACAGTAGGAGCAGGTACTGCTGGAGCCTCCTGTAGTTTTTACTAGAGATGGCACTGGTAATAGTGAAAGATAATAAATTTAACTGGCAATGTCACATTTCCCATCTTTTTATCATACGACTATGTACTATAGCTATGAGAATACTAAAAATTTTGTTCGTTAGCAGGTGTACCTCCAACGCGATGGAAATATCAATGTGATTAGAAGAGAACATTCACTTTCGCTTCTTACCGAAAAGGCAGCTGCGAGCTACGAATTCTCCCGAAGACGATTCGAGCGGTTAGTTCGCATTCATGTTGTATTACTCATGTTTGAAATTGTCATTCTGCCTGCGTGTATTCGCAGAGTGTGCAAACACACTTCATTGAAGTATTCTGCCAGGAAGATATTCAATGTTTGTCGCAGGGTGAGCTAGGACAATATGAGGAACAGAACAGTAGTAAAGAAGAGACGAAATACATAATATAAGATACCTAATATAATATAAAGAAGAGTAGTAATAATGTTTAGTGGTACTACAGTACCATGAAACTTGCGCTATTTTTTAAGTGTCCCTTTGTTATATCCGCGAAAAAAGAAAATGAAAAAAATTGGAGTACTTTCTGAGAAAAAAATCTTATATATAAAAGACTATGTTTGATCGTGCTTAATGCGCTGCCGTACCGTTCATCCGATTGCTACAAAACTGTCAACTTATGGCTTGTTCTTCCAGGAAGAATACATGCATAGTGCTATGGGAATGTGCATATGCCTGCGCACACAGACGCGCGTTGATGGTGATTTTATGTAGAATCAAGGGCAGTCATCTAGGGTTGTCAGATTGGGCGGCTTTCTCCCAATGGACAAAAACAGACTTTGCGGAATACCGCTCAAAGGGAGGATATGCATCAAAACATGTGCGGTTTTGGGCGGTTTTTCAGATTATGCCGACATTTTGTAAAAGCAACCACGTTTCCCGAGAGTTTAATTTTTTAGTTTTTTTACTTTATACATGATTTTTCATTAATCATTTGTTAATTCGTTCAAATTTACTTTGGGAAGTAAGTAATGCCAGTTTTTAGAGCTCTAGTATAGGGTGTGCTCTAGAAGTCATAGCGCCTTTGTCGTGCATGACGTGCATTGTCGAACATGAGTATATATCACATGAGCAGTATTGCAGTTAATTTTAGAACACATTTAAAATTGGTCACTGCCACCATTTTTCGATAAGTCATAGTGAATAAACATGCATATGTAAACGTTTCTGTGATAATCTTTTAATCTAACTATCTATTTAGCGATTTTTTTACAGCCTTGGCCGTTTTCCGTATTCCAATTTCCATGCCTCTTTATCCCTTAGGTCGTTTTCCTCCATTTCTCTTTTTTGCATGGCTTCAGTTATTGACATGTTCCATTTCTTCTCGGTCTTCCCCTGTACCTTCTTCGATGTGGTATCCATTCCCAAACTTTTTGTGGAAGTCTATCCGATTTCAACCTTTTCACATGTCCATGCCATTTTAGTTGTTTCATTTCGATCGTTACGATCAAGATTGTTTGTACTTTCATTTTATTTCTTATTTTATCTAACAGAGAATGTTTACAACTTCACCAGAACATCATTTCTGTTGCTTGAAGTTTGTCTTTCATATTTTTCGTTAGTATTCAGACTTCTTCCCCATAGAGTGTAGTACTCTCTATGAAGGAGCTATATATGCGTTTGTCTTCATTGAAATAATTGAGTTCCACAGCACTGAATTGGGACTGTCTTGTGGCTATTTTTCCTCTTATGTTTTTATTTTTCACATCCTGTTCGTCTCTACCATCTGCTATTAGTGCGACTCCCAAATTCTTATATTGTGCATAACCTTTAATTATTCCTATACTAGTCTCTAAATCTTGGAGCATACCACCATAGATTCAGTCATTTGTACAGTTGTTTCCATTCCACACCATTCCAACAAGGAGAGTGAAAATGGAAAAGTGGGGAAATTATTTTGTCCCTTAAAGAATTCCTCCCATTTCTGTAGTCAAAAGATTAGACATAATTAACTTTTAAATATTAATATATAATTTATTATTATAAAAAGTATAGTTTTAACATAAATTATTATTTATGCTCGCGGAATCATCTACATCAATTACTTGGAAAAGGAGAGTATTATGGTACATTAGAGTAGAGTAGAACACAATAACAGGAGAGTATTATGCGTCATTATTGTACCGACTGAGCAAAGTAATCAAGAAAAAAGTCCTTATCTGAAAAGGAAAATAAATATATTTTATTAAGACAATGCATGGGTGCACACCTGCGCAATTGCGATGGCCAAAATTATGGAATTAAAGTTCCAATTATTACAATATCCAGCAGACGAGGGGCCCCAGTGACTTTTTTTTTTTTTTTTGAGAAATGGCTTGGTGAACAAACATTTACATCGAACGATGAAGTCATTGCCCAAACAAATGCCTATTTTGAGGAGCTTCCGAAATCCTACTTTTTAGACGGCTTAAAAAACTGGGAAAACGTCTAGAAAAATATATAGAACTGAAAGGAGATTATGTTGAAAAATAAAAATTAAAAAACAGGATTTTTTCTATTTTCTTCTAAGGACTTATTCAACGACCTTGTTATCAAGAAGCCCCAAAACATGAATTCTTTGCCTACCCAACGTGTTACAGGAAGTAATTTACTGTAATTGAACTATTAGAATACAGTACATTTATATTGCGAAGTATAGTTTATATTGTTTGTCTCTAAAATGTATGCTTCTTCTTTCGTTTTTATGTGTTGTATGGTTGCTTCAGATGCGGCGCTGACCTACACGTTGACTTGTGCAGTTTTCCCCATCAGGTATCTCCCACCAGCGGGACACTGCTCCAACCGAGACAATTGCTAGCCCTCTGACCGGTCTCCCGACACGTATGGTAGTGTAGAGCATGTGAGTGAAAGTGGGCGTAAGTAAAAAGTGATGATAGGACAAGGACGAGGAAAGAAAGATTGCGTGCGGTCCGTGGTGCGTTTTTAGGGTACTGTTCCTGCATTTGCCTTGTGTTGATCGGAAAAACTACGGGAAACTACTGCTGGGCTGCCGGCCGCTAGAATTCGGTCAGTGGCTGAATTCGAACTAGCCTTCTAACTAATGTGGAAAATCCT